AAAAAAAAAAAAAAAAAAAAAAAAAGGGAGTAAAGAGTATAGATAACTCCCAGAAAAGAAAATTAAAATGGCCCTTAAATACAGGTCATGATGCTAAACCTTATTCATAATAGGAGGAATGCAATTTAAAGTTATAGTGTGCATGGTATATAAATTGAAAACTACAAAACATTGCTGAGAAATTTAAGATGACATAAATAAACTGAGATACTGTGTTTATGAATCTGAAGACTCAATATTATTAAAATGTCAATTCTCTATGGAAAAGTGCAATCTACATCGATCCATAGATAAAATTGACCTATAAATAAAAAGCAACCACAAAGCCTCAGCAAACTTCTTTGTAGAAATTAAGCTGATTCTAGAACATATATGGAAATGCAACAGACCTACAATAAACAAAGTAACTTTGAATGAGAACAGAGTTGGAAGATTCATTCTACCCGATTTCAAGATATAAAGCTACAGTGATCAAGACATTGTTTTATTGGCATGAAGACGAACAAACAGATCAATGGAATAGAGAGGCCAGAAACAGATACACATACGTATGGTCAACTGATTTTCAAAATGGTCCCAAGGCAATTCAATAATTACTCCATCTGGATAAACTTTTCAACAAATGGTGCTAAAACAACTGGATAGCTATATGTAAAAAAATGAACCTCAATCCTTATCTCACATCATATTAAAAAATTAACTCAATCGAAGTGGATCATAGACATAAATATAACGGCTAAAACAATATAACTTGCAGAACACAGGAGAAATCTTAATGACTGTATTTGACAGAGATTTCTTAAATATGTTAAAAAGGCACAAACATCAATAAATTGGACTTCACCAAAATAAACTTTTGCTCTTCAACACACACTGATAAAAAAATAAACCACATCCTGAAAAAAAGAAAATGTATCTGAAAAGGATTCACAACTTAAGACAATTAAAATTTTTTACATAGGCAAAATATTTGAACAGACTCTTCACCAAAGAAAATATGTATGGCAAATAAACATCTGGGAAAACACTCAATATCATTAGTCGTTAGAAAGACGCAAATTAAAACCACAATGAGGTGCCCTTACAACCCACTGAGAATAGCTAAGACAGTAATCAAGAGTTGTTGAGGATGTGGAGCAACTGGAACTTTCAAACACTGCCGACAGAAATGTAAACTGCTAGTAGCAAAACAGTCTGGCAGTTTCTTTTAAAGATACTCTTCCATATGACACCCAGCCATTCCACACCCGAGAGAAAATAAAGAGTATGTCCACACAAATTCTTATACATGAATGTTCCTAGCAGCTTTATTTGTAATAGCCAAAAACTGGAAACAACCCAAACGTCCATCAACAACTAAGTGGATAAATTGTGGAACATCCATACAATGGAATACTACTCAGCAATAAAAAGGAACAAACTATTGATATCCATAGTGTGGATGAATCTCAAAATAACTGCTGAGAAAAAAAAGCCAGGCAAAAAAAGAGTACATATTGTATGATTCCAAATAAAAGTCATATGCAAACTAATTTACAGTGACAGAAGTACATCAGTGGTTCCATGGAGACTGGGAGAAGGAGAAAAGGGAGAGGGGAGAAAGAAGGAGAGATTACAAAGGGACACAAGGAAACTTGAGAGTGATAAATATGTTCATTAATTTGATTGTGGTAATGGTTTCACAGGTGTATACATGTCAAAACTCACCAAAGTTGTACACTTTAAATATGTGCAGTTTACTGTACATTCTTCACCCAAAAAATTGGCAAACATTTAAAGTTCATAAAAACATGTTAGAAAAGCTGTAGGGAAACATGCTCTCACACATTCCTATAGCAGGAGCTTAAAGAGGTACAACCTCTATTTGGCAATACTTATCAAATATTACAAAGGTATATACCCTTTATGCCAGCAATTTCACTTCTAAAGATTTTCCTTACATGAGTAGGTGAAATGACACAAACAAGGTGTATAAAGAACAAAAGAAAAGAAACCTAATGGTCCATCAACAGAGGAATAATTAAATAAATTATGGTACATTCATATAGTAGAATACCACGCAGCTAAAAAAGAATGAGGAAACTCTCTCTATATATTAGGTAAAAACAAACAAAAACAAAAAACCTCCAAGACATACTAGTAGAAAAAGCAAGGCACAGATAATGCCTATATGAAACTATTTATATTTTTAAAAGGAGGGAAATAATATATTCACACACACTTCAAATCTGTATTATGTACACACAAAATAGATCACTAGAGGAAATTATAAGAAACACATGTCAGTTGCACATGGGGGGGGGCTAGTTAGCATGGAACAAAATGGAAAAGAAGCTTTTCATTATATGTCTTTATTTGAATGTCAAACCATATGTATGTACTGCCCACTCAGAAATTTTGAAAGAACCCCTTTCTCAGATATTCTGTCAAGTCAAATCAGCAGAGGTCATTCTTAAAGAGCATTATTTTGGCCCCTTATAAGACTGCTTTTGCTGAATTGCACTTTGATTTTATTATTATGGCCTCTATTGTATTTATTATAGAGAGATTATTATTAAATTCATACTGTATGAATTTTGATAAGCACCATTAATCCATTCTACAATCCATCAGGTAATTAATTATATTTAATAATAGTTAATTCTGATCTAACTACTGCAAATGCTTTCCAATGGGTTTCTTAAAATACTTTCAGCAATAGTACTGTTATTTGTTCCAGTTCATTCACATGCATCCAAATTGCCAAAAGACACATTTTTAAGACCATAGTTGAACCAATGGTTGCTGGCATCATTAGTCCCATGCTCTACCCAACTGCAAAATACAAGGCTGGCCAGTTAGCTCAGGTGGTTAGAGTGTGGTGTTGTAACACCAACGTCAAGGGTTCAGATCCCCATACCAGCCAGCACCAAAAAAAACCAAACATGTTTAAACCAGATTTCTTTAAATGACATGATTATGCTATTTTGCAACTGGCTAAATAAAAAATCATTCCAATCCCAAATGAACACTGGCCTATCCTCCTTTTTCTACACATATCAAGTATCTGTGAAACAACTGAACAAAAAAATAAACAAAAACGCTTACCAGTAGCATAGATGGCTTTGTAAAGCAAATAAATATTCATTAAAACTCTCAATTGGCTTCTCCTGTAGTACATAGTCAATGCGTTGTCCTCCATTCAGCATTCCCACTTTGATGGGTGGGGCTTCTTCTTTAACTGCCACAGAGGTCTCTTCTGTGTCAATGTCTGGATAAGAAGAACCATAATTAGAATCTAAAAGCTTTCAGCCCTCAAGGGTTCTCCTGTTTCTTCATCTCAGACTCCAAGTTTACCGTAGGATGAGCTCTGTTCAGAGAGCTCTCTCCATCTTCCTCCTCTCAATCTCTTGTCACACTAATTTTGTACAACCCCCTTTTTTTCTTTTGCTCAACACATCTCATCACCTATTCCTTTGATAGAGGTCTTCAGAAGTTAAAAACTAAAGCAGAAGAATGCAATATTAACTGTAAAATTAAGTGGAGAGTATCCTAGCTAGTACCCAGCCAGGAAAATAAAACTGACCCACAAATATACACATTCCCCCTGTAAAAGCAAGGTACTTTAGAGAATAGGCTCTTAATATCATCATAGTTCCCAAGTGGGAAATGTTCTAAAGCCTAGTTATCAGATGCTCAGCTTCTCTTGACATTTTTCCTCAGAAATAATGTTTTTCTATAATTTGTAGCTATTAAGATTACAAAAAAGATTAGCAGAGCTGAAGGACCGTTAGAACTCATCGTATGCATTCTACACAATAAAAAGGGAAAGGTAAGAAGGCCCTGGGAGAATAAAAACTCCACACGTGGAGTCCCTCTTATCTGGCCTAATGCAGGTAATCAATGTGTACAGTGTTCACTTACCACTACACTTCTCTGAACTTGATTCAGGTTCTGTTTCAGTTTCTTCTGCAGTTTCTGAAGCTTGTAAGGCAGGGTATGGAGCTCTGGTGAAAGACTTCCAAGCCATCCGCAATGAACCTAGCAAGTTGTTCTTAAGGTCCATACTCATCCTTGTCAAGCCCTCTCTCAGTTCTGAAGCGCATATGAATAAAGAGCGTTAAATGGTTTAGAAGAGTTGAAGGCACAACACAGCAAAACAGTGAATGAGGTCCATTCAGTTTGCACTGGCTGGAAAGTCTGGAATTATCAAGTTTTATAATCAGACTTACCTAAATGCATCCGCTTCCTGCCTTTATGATGTGGAATCAGCATTGGCTCAAATTCCACTCCTGGGACGACCATTGGTTCAATCCTATAGGCCACAGGATCAAACTACATAGCAAAAATAATAGTTACATTTACCACTGCTGAAGAAAGACAGTCTGAGAACTGTATATCTTAGGCAAGAATAATTACAAGATCATTTTAGTAATGTAGAGTTGTTCTGCCCCCTCGCTTCCAGATCAATAGTACTATTAATCATCTTATTAATAGAAAATAGGATAGAAAAAAAAAATCAACACAACAGAAAATCATATACTCTTTACCTATAAGCCCTAATATTCACATAAATCCACCAATAGCTGCACAATGCTTACAGGGTGATAAATATTGAAGAAACCCTTGCATGTTGGAAATTTGTAATTGGGATCAATTCTTTTTAGTCCTCGAACAGTCAGGAACATTCCAATGGGAGATCCAAAGGCAAAAAATATTTCTGGTTTATAGATCAGCTGGGGGTATTTTACAGACACCTGGAAGGAGGAAATAAAAGCACTTCTCATTAATAAGAAAAGTTACATCTGTTCCTACCATACCAATGGCAGGCAGTAAAATGACCAAAGCGAATTAGCATTGTTACCTGCCCAATGCCAACATCCAGATATTCATCATTTCTAGTATCATCATTACTACTGCAGAACTCAGATTCTTTGGGGATTTTCGCCCCTGAAGCTGACTGCAGGGTTGATCTATTAATACCCTAAAGAATAAAAATTAATTAGGAAAAGGTACTATATAGTAAAAATGGCCAAAGGATTATAGCTTTCTACTGATTTGAAAAGATGCTTTGGAAAGTTTTAAAATGGTAGCCAATGATTCTAGGAACAGTCCATTAGAAAACAAGATAAAGCTGATGAAAACAACAATAGCCTCAAATTATGAATTAGATATGCTCTACAACGAAAGTTGTACACAGCCACTTGGGCAGCAGCTGAAATACAGGCAACCATCATGAGAGAAAACAACAGCAGCACACTGTGAGAAGAATTGTAGAGGACTGCTAAGGAGTTCTGTGACATGCTGTGCCTTTGTAATCAAGGCAAACAGGATGTATCTATGGTAAAGAATATAATACAGATACCAGGCCAAAAATAGTTCTTAAAAAAGAACCTGCTAGGGCCGGCCCGTGGCTCACTTGGGAGAGTGTGGTGCTGATAACACCAAGGCCATGGGTTCAGATCCCTATATAGGGATGGCCGGTTAGCTCACTTGGGAGAGCGTGGTGCTGACAACACCAAGTCAAGGGTTAAGATCCCCTTACTGGTCATCTGTAAAAAAAAAAAAAAAAAAAAAAAGAATCTGCTGAAGTCACAGTTTTGGATCCCTGTACCAGCCAACCACCAAAAAAATAAAAAGTAAAAAAAGAACCTGCTAAAAAGTTGGAAAAGAATTAACTACTAAGATATGGAAAGAAATTCAGTGGCCAGAAAAACTAAATGTGGAAGTACTTTTACAATATGGATAAACCTTAAGATTATTCTAAGTGAAAGAAGCCACTCAAAAAAGGCAATACATTGTATGATTCCATTTATATGGAATGTCTGAAATAAGCAAATCCATACAGACAGAAAGAAGATTAGTGGTTGAGAGAGGCTGGGGGCAGGGAAGAATGGGGAGTGCCTGCAAATGGATATGGGATTTGTTTTGGGGGTGATGGAAATGTTCTGGAATTAGATAGTTGTGATGATTACATAACTGTGAATATACTAAAAACCACTGAATTTTATACTTTAAAAAGGGTAAATTTCATGGTATGTAATATGAATTATATTTCAATAAAGCTGTTATAAAAAGAAAAAAGAAAAAAAGTGAATGGTAGGAAGAGTTGAGAGATAAGACTTCTGAAGCTAATAACATTTTTAAGGATATGAATAAAGAAAATGTGTTTGATTTCTAAAAAGACAGCCATACATCAACTATCAAAACTGCTTAGCTTCCCAGAGTAACCACCCTCAAAGCACAAGGATATATCACGGACATCAAAGAATTGCTTCATCCGACAAGCTATACTAGGTGCATACCGTTGAATTTTTTCTGGTCCTGAAATAGTTTAATATCTTCTTTCTTGGTCCTAAGGGAATTCCCATTTCCTTAAGATCTCTGTCTGTACATAAAGCCTAGGCACAGAAAACCAAATATCTTTATTATTTCTAGGCAAAGTAAGGTCAGTGAAATGTCCAGTACCCTGAAAGAAATAAGACCTAGGCACTCTGTTTGCTTTATATTGCTCTCACTCTGTAATGGTATAACATCAGTAACTTCAAGAAGGAAAGCCTATTTAATTCATACAACAGTCCAAAGAAGAATAGAAAGTATCAATACTACGGTATCAATGTTATAGTAATACAGATAACACTGTATTACTGTTAAAAACAAAACAAAAAACATAGAACAGTTGGGTACCTAATGACTTCATAACAGAAAAACTCTGATTTCCATGCTCACTCAGATCTCACCTTCCTGAGGATTATACTCCTTCTCATGGACAAAAGCAGTGAGAACACAAAGCAAACACAGAAGTCTGGAACAGACTAACAATCAAGATCTCAACTTAAGTGCTGCTCATCTTATTAACGAAGGTTCCTTCACCCTCTCAGTCTACGTTAGTTTATCCTATCATACATTCTTATATCACTATGTACTTTTTCTGCTTAGTACTTATAATTATAATAATTATGTCTGTGGTTATTTAATGTATGTCTTCCCAACTAAACAATAAACATTATGAAATCAGGGACCATATATGTCTTATTTACCACTATCTTCAGTACTTGGTATAGTATGCCTCATCACAGTATTTCAGAAATATCTGTTAGATGAATAAATGTATCATAAACCAGAAAAAAGCACAACAGAAGTGGGAAAAAATATAAACAAATAAACAAGTAGCAGTAGTGGAGCTCTAGAAAGTGTAACAGAAAATACAAGTTGGTTTAGTTTGTGATCATTTAGGGGTTTGTTCTTACCCTCATGTTTTCTCTGAGCTGTGCAGTTTGGTTTTTGCTCCACTGCTATATGGATATCAATATGGCTCATCTGAACTTTGAACTCTCACAAAACAAAGATCACTTTATATGGTAAGAAACAAACAAATAATGCTAAAGAACATTATTAATGATAACAAAGTATTTATGTTTAGAAAGCCTCTATAGGGCAGGCTCTTAGTAAACATGACGAAGATAAACAACAAAAATACTGAAAATGGTTTGGCATAAAGTTTAAAAAGGTTATTTTTACCAGAGCTTCCTTATCTACTTTCTCCTTCTCAAAGATATTATAGAATTCACAGAGTTGAAGTTTCTTCAAATCTTCCTCTAGTGTTGGTGTATCTCCTTGATCCATAACAATATTTGGGGAATCCTAAAATTAAAATCATAAAGTTCATACTCCCAAAATTCAGTTAGTGTTTCCTTTATTAATACTATTTTGCACTAAAAAAATGTGTTATATAAGAGTTCACAGTGAAATCTTATAAAGTGAAAGATTTCCACAGTGAAATCTTAACGTTATATAAATTGTAACATAAAATATATATGAAGAGATTACTGATCTCCAAGTTTTCACAACTTTAGTTGAAAACATGTTTTTCAGTGAATAAATAAATGGATGATTATCAAAACATTCTTCATCATCAACAAACATTTAATGAGCTCTTATTGGGGAAACATTGCTTCAGAAATAAAAGTCTAAAACAAAGCCCCTGCCCTGGAAGAACTCATGAACCAACAGGAGATATAGAACACTTAAATAAAAAGAGAAAAAAATACAACATAGTATATGGTAAGTACCAAATCAATACTATATATGATACATGTTCACAGTACCTTGTTTTACTAAAAGATATGTTTAAGCATCAAGTCCCCCCATTGCTTTCAAACAGAATTTCTATAATTCATACCAATTTGCATCCAATTCATTCTTCATTTCCTCATATGTAAACTCCATTTAGCTCAATGATTCTATAATTCTATTACTATTAATAGAATTATACTATTATTAGATCACTTGGCATATTTATAAAGGAAAATAAGACACCTATGACTGCTTTAGAATATGGCAATTATTAGAGGAAGTATATTACTATCTTGCTTCTATTATCCAAGAATGAAAGACAATTACAAGTCTGTTAAAATTAAAATAAATGTAAATTTAATGCCATAGCATGACACTAAACTCAGCTAAAAACAAAAAAGTCTAAAATCTAAAAATCCTCACTAAAGAATACTGCAAGAGAACCTATCTGAACATCTAAATTACCTTTTCACTGTCAATATCCCCCAAAGAATCTTTCTGATTTGTTAGGATATCAAACAATATAAGCGAACCTAAAAGTAAAATAGAAGAAAGAAGGGACAATTTCTAAGCATTAGCACTAAATGGCTGTCTGTTACAAAAAAAAGTAATAAGCCAATTATACATATAAGCAAATCTATACAGCAGGGAGTCTTTCCTTCCAATTTGCCACCACCCTTCCAACCCCTTCCAAATTCTTCATCACAGACCACTTCTAGACCTTTGAATCTGATACTGATCAAAAACACTGTACTTCAAAAACAGGTGTCTTTAAAATATGATAGTCCTCTCTGGTCACAGAGAATTCATTTGTTACCTAAACTATGACCAGCAATGGATACACCCCCTTTGAAATCAGGGTTCCTCTGCAGAAAAAGTGTGTATATTCGGTTCATTTCAGAAGCAACTGTGTCCACAATAGTCTGACAGTAGGTGGGGCTATTGTAGAAGAAGACATCCAGAATTGTGTCATTGGTGAAGTGCCTGAGGCGGTTAATGCTGGGCAGAGTTATTCGTTGCAGATCTCTGAAAAAAGGAAAGATATTTTAAGTAGGAAACCTAAATACATTCCACAGCCACCTCTAAGTTATTGTCTAGCTTAGCCTTGAAGCTTAGACATTTAATGATACACGAGATGTTTACTGATATCCATTGAAAATCAAGGGACAAAAGGAACATGTTTAATGAAGCCAAAGGGATGTGGTCAGTGAAATTCAGAGTAAGAAACCCCACAAGACAGACAACCCAGTTTCTTCAACATATAAACTGCAAGAACATAATGGATCTAAATGGAGAGATGATTAAGAGAAACTTAAAAGACATACCAACTAACTGCAATGTATGGACTTTATTTGGAATACAGTTTAAAATGTGTGTCTGTATACATTTGTGTATGTATATATACGCATATACAAATCATAATATTTACTAGACAAGTGGAAATTTCAGGGACATGATATTAAGAATTTTTGTAGGCGTGGTAATGGTGTTATGATTATATATATTTTTAAATATATACAAATCATAATATTTACTAGACAAGTGGAAATTTCAGTGACATGATATTAAGAATTTTTGTAGGCGTGGTAATGGTGTTATGATTATATATATTTTTAAATCCTTCAAAATATACACACTGCAACATTTACAGGTGAACTGATAGGATGTCTAAGATTTGATGCAGAAATAATATGGTGGAAGGAGGGACAGTGGACTGAGGTGTGAAGATATATGGATGGAGCAGAACCGGCCATGTGTTGAGGCTTGTTGGGGTTAGATAGTCAGTACACGAAGATTCATTAAATATACTAATATGTACAAAATTCTCTATAATAAAAATTTTCTTAAGAAAAAAGATACAAAAGGCTTTTCTTAGAATTCTCAGCATTAAGGTCTTTTGATCACAAGTCAAATGATAAAGAATCAGCTCTCTTTCTCTCAGTGCAGAATTTCTAAAAGCAGAAAAAGGTGAGAATGTCAGATGCCAATGGCAAACAGAACTCATATTTAGCAAAGGAAGATCATGGTGACATAGTCTAAATCAACTTCCAGTTAAAGCTTTCTCGAATTTCCAGAAAGATTCCTCTAATATTCAACAGCTTCTGCAGTTCAGAGAGGGCTATGTGCCCTCATTAACCTCTTAGCATCAGCTAAAATATTAAAGAATGTAGACTCCACCTAATAGCAACACCACAGTGGAACGTTTGGCACATGGAACATATTCTAATCACAATGTGTTAAGAACTGAAAGACACAGAATCAAAAAAGCCATTTCCAAGACCAGCATGAAACAATGCTGACTACTACCTTTATCTTCCAGAGAAGCATTTCCTAGCTCTTTTCGAGAACTATATTATGAACACACTTCTTTTTGGAAAGCCGATAGCTGTATATCCTCAATGTGAGGCAACCTTCTCTGACATTAGCACAAACTTCATAAACAAAACTATGGGACATATACCATAAGAAAGCCATCACTTAAAAGGGATTGTATTGGGGGCTGGCCTGGGGCTCTCTTGGGAGAGTGTGGTGCTGACACCACCAAGTCAAGGGTTAAGATCCCCTTACCTGTCATCTTTAAAAAAAAAAAAAAAAAAGGCATTGATTGGGCTGGCCAGTTAGGTCAGTTGGTTACAGCATGGTGGTGCGGATAACACCAAGGTTCAATCCCTATAACTAACACACACACACACACACACCCATCATACCAATTATACCTCGAGTTATAAATATTTAATATTTGGGGATTTCCTCCCCTTTTTCCTAAATTTGGATGAATATTATTTAAACATGATCACAAAAGGAAAAAAAATACTTTGTACACCTTGGAGTATGAATGACTTTTTACATCTAAGATGGAAATGCTTATACACTATGGGAAGCAAACAATGTTTGGCTTTAATGCTAGAGAAGTAATGAAACTGTAATAGTAAATACTAGTGAGCCAGTAAAACATACTGAAGATACACACAGCTCTTTACTCCTAACCAGGGCAAGTTAAACCAAGGCACTGATCAGCATTTAATAATGTATCTCTAAGAAATTTTAAATATACAATTGGCTATAGCAGACGTGTCCCTAAACATACTGACAATTAGAAAACATATTACAATCACAGTTAACAACTCAAAGGTATAAGTTATTACTCACACATCCACACCAGTAGAATGCAAAGGACTGTGCCAGTTGACTGGAAGAAATTCTACTCTCCCAATCTGCTGATTTTCCTGGGCTTTCTTAAAATGCGTCTGTATCAAGTTCAAGGAAACACTGCGAAAATCATTAACTGGAAAAGAAAATTAACAGTGAAGCAAAGAATCTGCAGAATTAGGATGCAACAAATCATATAATTACTCCAAATACATCTGCTTACAACAGATGTTGACTGAATGAAAAACAGTAAAGAGAAATTCAGGAAAAATTATTAGTGCATATAAAAAAAGATCCTTTAATGTAGAACATGCTTTTACCATACGAAACATTTTATCAAAAGAAAAGCTAACTTCAAAACTTAAGTGGTGTGAATACTATTTCAATAAAAAATTAAAAATCACATGATTTTATGTCAGTTAGTCTTGCAGTCAGGTTCCTATGCTAACTTTCTGGTTCTTATAAACCACTACCACTGCTATGGGTCAAATGTGTCCCCCAACAGTTCTTGTGTTGGAAACTTGACCCCCCATAGTAACAGTGCTAAGAGGGTGGGAAATCCAATTACGGTATTTGAAAAGTGGGGCCTTTAAGAGGTGATTAGATTATGAGGGCTGTGCATGGATTGATCCACTCATGGAGTAATGGGCACAATTCTGATGGCTCTTTAATAAGGACAGTGAGTGAACAGGTTAGCGCTCTCTTGCTCAGCCCTTTCTCACCATGTACCTTGGTTGCCATGGGACCCTCTAGAGAGCTCCCACCAAGAAGGCCCTCACCAGATGTGCCCCCTGAGCCATGGACTTCCCAGCCTCCAAAACTGTAAGAAATAAAATTTACTTCTTTATAAATGACCCAGTTTTTTTTTTTTTTTTGGTCATTTTCGTGTCCGGCAACGGATCGCAACCCTCAGTATCGCGCCCGGACCGGACCGTGACCGGCAACGGGATCGCAACCCTCGGTGCTGCACCCGCACCTCGCTCAGCCAGTGAGCGGGAACCGGTCTGTATGTGGGATCCAAACCCTCGGCGGGAGCAGCGCCACGCTCCCAAGCGGCGCACTGTAGCAGTGCACCACCGGGCCAGCCTGTTTCAGGTATTGTTAAATGCAACCGAAATGGACTAATACAACCTCCTAATATTTTAGATTAAAAAAATACACTGCTGTTTGAAATTTGTATCACATTGATCTTAACCTTCCAAAATACAATTCTAGTTTATACTTAGAAACATTAGCCAGTAGAGTAAGACTCCTTGATCGGAGCAATTAGACTTTGACTACTACAAGTTTTAGAGGACATTACCTTTCCAAGTCAAGTTACAGTAATGACTTAAAATTTTCAATCAGTATTATAAAAATGACTGAAGCTTCTGCTATTCATTTAAACTCTACATCATCTTTATGATTCCCTTTAAATTTCGAATGGTTAGAAACAGAACCATAACATCATAAAACACTTTTATAGGGATTAAGGGATTGTTCACTCAAGAATTATTGGTTAAGAGTATAAACTACTAGCCCCAGGAAATTACCAGCACTTTAGTTCTAAGCTGAGAAGCTTTACTATACCTTGCCACCTGTCTTTAGCTCTCCAAATCTTATTATGCAGCTAAGACAACAGACCAAATACAATGCTTTATTCTCAGCTCACAGAAGCAATGACTAATACTCTCCTTAAATGCTCTAATCTTATATCCTTTGTAAACCTACCACACTGTACAATGCTTCGAAAGCGAAGGTCGCAGGCTGGTCCAATCCCATGGACTACAAAAATCAGGTGATCTATTTGTAAAGGTTCCCCTATAAATAAAAGAAAAAAGATATGTAATAAGTCATATTCTAAAATCAAACATTCACAATAAACAGGTAACAAATATGAACAAGTTAGGGCTGGCCAATTGGCTCAGCAGATTAGAGTGCAACCTTATAACAAATATGAGCACGTCAAAATACAAACAGACAACTTAAAAGACATAATATTTAACTGTGTAGTAAAAATACATTGATTATACTTTGAATTTATCTTTAAATAAGTCTGTGAAAAATTTTTCAAGTTTTAAAAACTTTTTAAGTAACTGCAAACTTACAGAAAACTGGAAGAATACAGAAATTCCCATATACTTTTTACACAGATTCAACTTTTTAACAATTACCACATTTGTTTTATTCTTCTCTCTCTCTCTCTCTCTGTACGTACATGCATTTATTTTTCTGAACCATTTAGGAGCAAGTTGCATACATCATTAGGCTGCATACACCATATCTCTTTAACCCTTTAATATTTTAGTGTCTATCTCCTAAGAATATTCTCTTACATAACCACAGTACAGTTCTTGAATCCAGGCAATTTAACATTGATAGAATACTTTTATCTAATATTCCATTTTCATCAATTGTCCTAATGATATCTGGTATGTTTTTAAAGCCTGAAAACTTAAACTCGTCTTTTTAAATTACAGTAAATCTAAGATTTTGTCCAAGAGAAAAGTCATTTCCTACACGAGATAAAAGGAATCCAGTTAAATATATTATAAAACCAACCATAAGCAATCCTAGCTAGTTAGCAATGGATAAACATAAAGGTCCTACAGAAAAGTAGTTTTCCTTAGTTCAAAGTCTTCAAGGACAGGAGTTAGAAGGAATATATTTCTAGTCAATCAGGTGGAATCACACTTTTTAATATTAGGACTAAATAAATTAATCTGCATTTAGTGACCTCCCAATTACTACAGCCAAATTTTACCCATCTGACCATATGTATTTAGCTTTAAAAGAGACTTTTACATCTATTAAGATTCTTAATAGATGAAGTGATGCTAATCTTAATTCAGAATATGCCCATATGAGTAAACATCATTTTTAAGCCTTGAGGTAATCCAAATCCACAGAAAAAGTTCACAATTTAAGGAATAAGCAAATAAGTGTATCAGAAGACAAGAAAAAATAAATGATTAACATTACCACAATGAATGTCAACAGAGATGTTCTCAACCCCTCTCTTTACTGTTCTTGGTCGACCCTGCTCAGTGGGTGTCGAACCCCATTCATCAGACCCTGCAACTGGCTGGTAATGTACCATGAGCTTAAATAAAGAAAATCAGAACAATAAAGATGTTTTACATTATAGTCATCTCTACATAGTACATTTTGAAGTACATGTCTTTCATAACATATCGTCAAATCTCAACTGCAGCTTCATTATGCAATTCCTACAGCTTGAAATGAGAACCGTGAAAATACATTAGGCTAACAGATCTTTCAACAATACCCCACACATGGAAGATATGCTAATATGTTGGTGATTTTATTCATTTAAAGCGACATAATTATCTCTACAAAAATTCTTTTGTATAAGCCAAGTAGGATAAATAACAGTAGTGGCTACAAGTTTTAAGTTTCATGAATGTGAACTGAATATAAAATTTGCAAAATTTATCCTATGTAGAGTCCATAAAGAAAAAAAAAATTAAGTTCTTCTTAGTAATGCAATTAACCTTTAATTCCAATATGAGAGAAATGGCTTTAATTAGCTTTACCTTTGGATTGTGTAATATAATAATTTCTCTGTTGGGAGATTCCAGTTTCTTCTTCCATTCATCCAGAGTTACAGCAAGCATGTAAGTCTCCTTAAAAAACAAAACAAAAAAAACCCACACATACATACGTTTTATTAGGTTTCTCTAATAGCTTTTCTTTTAAAACTGAACGTATTCACAAGAATACTACTAGATTAACAAGTTTCAGTAAGAATATCGAAGTCTAATTTATCAAATTTATTTTAATATTCTTTTAAAACTACAACAGATAATAGCACAGGACAAAAAAAATTACCCCTAATTCCATCATCTAGACTAGATAATCGCTATTCACATTTTTATATGCGAGGGTACTTTCAAAAAGTTCACAGAAAGATTTGTATTATCTTACAATTCTATTTTTCCACAAACTTTTGAAGTATTTCAAAAATATTTCAAATGTATTTCTGTCAATAATATTAATGTTCTATCCAACTAAAAAAAACAAATCTCAGTTTTCAGAGCAAGAAAAATAAAAGTAGAAAAAGACCAATCCTGTGGTCATAGCGTATATATTAAATATTAAGCATTAAATATTTAAATATTAAATAGTTTAAATATTTTTCCATTAAAAAAAAAGAAAATCTAAATTAAAAGGCATAATATAGATTCCACAGTACTTGAAAATCTGAAAATAGGGCTGGCCCCGTGGCGCACTCGGGAGAGTGCGGCGCTGGTAGCGCAGCGACGCTCCCGCCACGGGTTCGGATCCTATATAGGACTGGCCGGTGCGCTCACTGGCTGAGCGCCGGTCACGAAAAAGACAAAAAATAATAATAATAATAAAATCTGAAAATAAAACTACTTTATCTTGAAACTAACTTGCAAAAAGAAATGCCATAAAATGGCATGCAGATAGAACCAAATTCTTTCTGGATATCACAAAATAAGTCACAAGAGGAAGAAAAGATTATTAAATAAGAAGGAAAAAATGAAGAAAATGATGAGTAAAAAAAGGTCAAAGGAATACCTCTAAAACTTGGCTGAAGCTCTCTGAGTAGGGAACATACTTATTGTCTTTGTCTCCCTTGTAAAACCAGGTACATCGTCTCACTTCTGATGCTAGTTCATCCCAGTATACAGCATACCGCATCCTCTCCCTCAAATGAACATCATATCTACCCCCATCAGTGGGCACAACTCTCCCATTACAATCTTTTCCTATTAAGGATTGGAAAGGAAAAATTTTTTTCAAAATAAGTCTCCCAAAATACAATCTCAAGTTACACTCCAAATAATGTTATGAAACACATAAATGAACAGTTTCTACTTGGCTAAACATTAAACAAAATGGAATATAATTCATATCTTTCTCACTAACTATATTACAACCATCAAAACCATCCTTGGTTTTAATGAAACATGAGAAAAATACTACGCAGTTTTGTTTTTTTCCTGAGGAAAGATAATACAGTAGTTTGCTTTATCCATAGCTTCGCTTTTCATGGTTTCAGTTACTCACAGTCAACCTCTATCCCAAAAATAGATGAGTACAGTACAATAAGATATTTTGAGAAAAAGAAAGAGCGAGCGAGAGAGACAATACATTCACATAACTTTTGTTATAGTATTCCAGGGTACTTCAAAAAGTTTGTGGAAAATGGAATTAGGACCGGCCCCGTGGCTCACTTGGGAGAGTGCGGCGTTAGTAGTGCTGAGGCCGCGGGTTCGGATCCTATATAGGGATGGCCAGTGCGCTCACTGGCTGAGTGTGGTGCAGACAACACCGTGCCGAGGGTTGTGATCCCCTTACCAGCCCAAAAAAAAAAAAAAAAATTGGAATTAAAGATAACACAAATCTTTCCATTAACTTTTTGAAGACCCCTCATATTATAATAATTTTTCTATTCTATTATTAGTTATTGTTGTTAATCTCCTACTGTGACAGTCAATTTTTAAAATGAACTTTATAGGTATATATGTGTAGGAAAAAACATAGTATATATAGTGTTCAGTACTATTTGGGGCTTCAGGCATCTACTGGGGGTTTTGGAATATATCCTCCTTGGATAAGGGGGGACTATTATAGTACCTTCAAAAAAAAGTATGCAAGATTTTTCTGAATTTTTTTGCTTGAGGAATCAAAGGTAAATTAATGACCATCATGATGATATAACTAGCACCATTCTTGTTTCATAAAAGAAGAAAAAGTAATTAACAAGTTAGAGTTCATTGTTCTGCAATGTAACACCCCACCCTACATACACTCTTTATAAACAAAAACCAAAACATAAGTTAGAACATAAAAAATATTATTGGGTAACTATGCAGAAATTACAATAGATGCTGTTTTTGAAATACAGACCAAATTCTTGAATATTATAAATTGTCTGGGTACTAATACAGAACTTCTATACAAAATGCTGTGAGAAATTACTTAACTAGAAAAACCTAAAAAGTTTTTTTGGTGGGGGGAAGGGTGGCTTGGGGAGTCTGAACCCATGACTTTGGTGTTTCCAACACTGCCTTCTAATCAATTGAGCTAACTGGCCAGACCCCAAAATTTATTTTTCATAGCACTCACTATAAGGACCATTATATTATAGTTTGAGAGAGATGAAAGTCTTCGTCTATTACAAGTCATCGTTTTAGCCCTACCAGAGCTGTATGCCTCTTCCAGCAGCTGTGAATCCTCAGAGTTGAAAGGGATCCAAGTCTCCTTAGAATCTATTATCTTACAATAAAACCAATGCGGAGAAACTGGTTCATACAGGCTGCCAGCATCCATGTCTATTAACTCAAAGGAACTACATGAGTTTGATGATGAGGATGGATCTGACTGAGACAACTGTTCCTGGTGTGATTCCACTGATGACATTTCCCTCTCTAAAAAACAAGATGCAAGAAAACTATCAGGAAAATGATTTTTCTTCTATTAACAGTGTAATTGTGCACGCACACACACACACACCTCTGGTCATTTTAAGGAGTCATTTCTGAAAACAAAAACAAAACCCAAAAAACAATGTAAGGACGCTACATAATTGAGAGTAAAAATCCATTAACAGCTGGATTTGGCAGGAGGAGCTTTAGACAAAAGTGCTTCTATCACATCAACGGTTTTGCACCGAGCTCCGAGTTCTCTCAGAAAACTGCATGGTTCTACTCAGACAATAGGTTATAAAACAAAGCCAGAATCAAGAAACACAGGGTCAAAACCTGATTGCAACGAAACATTTTACCCCAATTTTCAATCTAAACCTAGTACCAAAAGAAGAAAATTTACTCCGACCAAGTCAGTATTCTGCGTCCCGGGTTTTAGGTTACAGGCCCCTCTCAGTGCGTATTTACGTGACCGGTGCAATCTCAGAATACGGAAAATAAAACTACCCACGTAGGAACCCATCACTTCCACAGATCCTAGAACGTGCTCGAGTCGGGGCTGAGGTACAAACTCTGAACCCTGCCTGGGACCACTGTGCGCACGCGCACACCCACTCATCCCGTCCACGTCTCAGGTGAAAACGAGTGACTTCCCTCAAAGACGGCTCTGACCTACGTGCTCCCATCTCCTCAGCCCTCAGCCCTCGGCAACGACGAGCCCTGCGGACCCGAGAGCACACTCGTGAGCGCCTACGTGGGGCGCGAGAAAGCGGACGGCGGCCGCCCTGTGCGCCGACGCTCGCCAGGCTTCCGGCCCGTCATCCTTTCTCTCAGCTCCAATTTACCTCAGCCACCCGGGCCTGTTCCTTCTCCCCACGACCCCACGCCGCCTGCGGCCCGGCTCCGGGACTTCGGAGCTCGGGGTCTCGTCGCCTCCCGCCTCCAGCCCCGGCAGAGGGAAGCGGAGCCACTAGTGGAACGAGAATCTCCCGGTGCCCCGGGGCGCAGTCGAGCCCAGGGGAGCCCCGGCCGCTTCCCGGGAACCGAAGCCACCCAACGCCGGCCCGTCCTCCCAGCCCCCTCGCCCCTGCTGCGGGCTCCGCGCCTCCCGCG